GGCTGGGTCCTGCGGGTGGCAACCACCTGATGTGTCCCTTTCACGTCGATGTTTCTCTCTCTCTCTCTCTCTCTCTCTCCCCCTCTCCCCCTCCCACTCTATCTGAACAAAAAATGGAAAAATGTCCTCAGGTGAAGATTAAAAAAAAAAAAAGTAAAGTAGCTAGGGCCCAGAAAGTGTTGCTCAGTTGGTTGACCAATGGCCCATACACCAAGAGGTCACCAGTTCAGTTCTGGGTCAGGGCACTTGCCTGGGTTGTGGGCTCAATCCCCAGTAAGGGGTGTACAGAAGGCAGCCAATCGATGTTCTCTCTCATCAATGTTTCTATCTCTCTCTCTCCCTCTTCCTTCCTCTCTCAGTAAAATCAATAAAAACATATTTTTTTAAAAGTACAGTAGCTAGGTACGATAATGAAAATGTCAGTAGAATAGGTAACTAAGTCAAGAAATTGTAAGGTCTCCACCTATTAGTTACTAGCTTTACTTAAAACTTCCCTATGAAACTCCTCAAGTTAAGAAAAACAATAACTTGGCAAATACATATGAATAATAAAAAATGTCTTGCCCTGGCCGGTTTGGCTCAGTGGTTGGAGTGTTGGCCTGCGGTCCAGAGAGACCCGGATTCAGTTCCTACTAGGGGCGTGTACCTCGGTTGCAGTTTGTCCCCAGCCCTGGTTGGATTGTGCAGGACACACTGGATGTGTCTTTCATGTCAATGTTCCTCTCTCTCTCCTCTTCTGTCTCCCTCCCACTCTATCTGAACAAAAAACCAAAGAGGTGCTCGCTTCGGCAGCACATATACTAAAATTGGAACAATACAGAGAAGATTAGCATGGCCCCTGCGCAAGGATGACATGCAAATTCATGAAGCGTTCTATATTTTTGTGTCCATCAGTAGACGAATGAATAACAAAGCAGTGGCACATATACACATGGAGTACTACGCAGCTGTAAGAAAGAAAGATCTCTTATCCTTTGAGACTACATGGAGGGACCTGGAAAGTATCATCCTAAGTGAAACAAGCCAAACAGAGAAAGACGAGTATCATATGATCTCACTTATTTGTGGAATATAATGAACATAACGGTCTAAGGAATGGGGTAGTCCCAGAGACGTGGAAGTAGGGTACAGAATGACAATCCCCAGAAGAGGGGGTGGTGGGGGGAGAGATAAACCACAGAACTTATATGCATGTATGCATGAACAATGGACATGGACAACAAAGCTGGGGACAGGGCAGGGAGGGGGAGGGGGAGGGGGAAATCAGTGGGGGGAAAAGGAGAAACATCTGTAACAAAAATTAATTAATAAAAAATAAATAAATAAATAAATAAAGCAAATAGTATCCTCGGGTGAGGATAAAAAGTAAAATAAATAAATGAATAAATAATTTCTTATGATACACAATGTCAGCCTTTCTCTTCTCAATATCTGTTTGAATCTTCAAATTATGCTTTCCATTTGAAAATATTCAATTCATCCTCATCTACAAACTGTGTGATTCCTTAAAGCTACTTTCTGCTGTCATTTCAATGGTGACAAACATCCCTTCTCCAGGCATGGTGCTAAGAATTTTCTATAGATGATCTCATTTTACTCTAACACTAATCCCAAGGGGAAAATACTGTTAATATCCCCACTTTAAACATGAGGAAACTGGGACATAAAGATATTCAGTCACTTGTCCAAAGTCACATCACTAGTAAGTGACAAAGTCAGGATTCAAACACAAATTGGCTGATACTAGAGCTGTGCTTTATATACCTCATTACTGGCCTTCAAAACATGGCTAATCCCCAGCCAGGGAGCCCGGGAGACCTCACTTGTCAGGGAAGTACTTCTGCACCCTCACACAGATCATTCTTCCCCACGTCCAAACTAACTACAAGTCAGGGTCTTCTTTTTTTTTTTTTTTTTTTTTTTTTTTGTTCAGGTAGAGTAGGAGGGGGAGAGAGGAACAGAGAGAGAGAGAAACATCGACGTGAAGGGACACATCGAGTGGCTGCCACCCGCACGACTGACCAGAGCCGGGGACAAACTGCAACCGAGGTACATGCCCTTAGCGGGAACCGAACCCGGGTCTCTCGGGACCGCAGGCCAACGCTCTAACCGCTGAGCCAAACCGGCCAGGGCAAGGGTCTTCTTAATGAAGGATGACTCAGCCCTCCAGTGGATCTCAACCAAGATGGCACTTCCACAGGCTTGGGCAAAAACCAAGCCATCCTGTAACAGTGATGGATAAAGGGAAAGTTTAAATCAGCTTTTTATGTTGATGTATTTATAGATTAATCTTCTTGGTATTAGAGTTAGACCAGTGTCTTTCAACCTGTGAGTCGCAACCCCTTTGGGAGTCGAATGACCCTTTCACAGGGGTCACCTAAGACCATTGGAAAACACATAGTATTTCCAATGGTCTTAGGAACCAAGACACCGCTCCTCTATCCATCTCCTAGCAGGTCCGCCCACATGCAGATACACCCACATACAATATGAAGAACTATATTAAAGGGTCATGGCATTAGGAAGGTTGAGAACCACTGAGTTAGACTCTCCATTCTCACCATTCCTCCTAAAATAGAAAAGGGGCTGCTATGTATATCATTCTACAATAGTAAGTTTTTTTATAAATAGGTAATAGAGTAATTGAGGCCAAGAGACCAATGATCTGGACATCCTGAGAGGAAGTACCAGCGACTTTAGAGTCTAGACCCACTGCTGGTACAAAATTTTCCTCCCTCATATCGGAGTCCTTCAGTTGGTCATCCAGAATGTACTCATCTCTCAGTGTGTCCAAACAGATCGGGGGGAAAGGAAGGGAGGAGTAGAAAGAATGAAAATAAAAACTACTATTATTGAGGACTTACTACATACCAGATACACTACGAATACCTGATCTCATGAATTCTCCCAATAATCCTATGGGATTATTATATACATTTAACAGATGAGAACACTGAGGCTTGGAGAGGCTGAGTAACTTGTGTAAAGCTATTCAGTAAGAGGGTTAGAATTCAAACCCACATCTGGCTGACTCTTAAGTCCAACCTCTTTCATAACAGTGCTGTCTTCAATAGTTATTTCACTGTTAAGGGCATGTTTCATTTTCAGCAAAACAAGACCAAGACAAAGGGGATGAGACAATCATATAATTTTAGAATTAAATGAGAGTTTAAATATCAAGTTCATCCTCTATCTGACAAATAAGGAATCTATTGCAAGAAGGGGGTTGTGGGGCTGGGTGGAAAAGGGTGAAGGGATTAAGCAAAAAACCAACTCATAGACATAGACAATAGTCCAGTGATTACAGAGGGAAAGGAAGGGTGAGGGAAGGAGAAAGAGGGTATGGGAGATATAAATGATAATGAAAGGAGTTTGACTTGGAGTGGTGAATACACAATACAATATACAAATGATGTATATAATTTTATTAACCAATGTCACCCCAATAAATTCATTAAAAAAATTTTTTTAAGGAAATATATTGCCTCGGGAGCTTAGGTGATTTGCCTGAGGTCTCACAGCTAATAAATGTGTATGCCAAGACAAATACAGAAAACTCCAGACTAAAACTATTCCCTTCATCTTTCCTCTTAGGTTGCATTGCTGTTGTTTCCTCTTCATTTCATGCAAAAGCATGTTCATTTCCTGATATACTATCATTTCGTTGTTACTAAGCACTAACTGTTCAACTAAACAAATGACAAAACGGTGGGTTCTCTTCTCCAAGATTATAAAAATATAAAATATTGATTTAGCCCTGGCTGGTGTGGCTCAAAGCGCCAGCCTTTGCACCAAAGGGTGGCAGGTTTGATCCCCCTCCCCCGTTCCATGTTCTGGAGACAACCAAGTGATGTGTCTCTATCACATCGATGTTTCTCTTTCTCACTTTCCCTCCCTCCCTTCCACTCTCTGTAAAAATCAACAGAAAAAAATATCCTCAGGTGAAGATTAACAAAAAGCCCAGCCAGCGTGACTAAATGGATTGAGTGGCCTCTCATAGACTGAGAGGTCCCAGTTAGATTTCAGGTTAAGGGCACATGCCTGGGTTGCCAGTAGGGTGTGTACAGGAGGCAGCCTATCAATGTTTGCATCTCTCCCTTCCTCTCTCCATAAAAGAAATCAATAAAAACATATTATTTTATTTTTATTCTCACCCGAGGACATTTTTTTCCATTTTTTGTTCAGAAAGAGTGGGAGGGAGAGAGAGAGAGAGAAACATGATGTGAAAGGGACACATGGAGTGGCTGGGGGGGGGGGGGGGCATGGAGTGGCTGCGGGGAGGGGGAGCAACCAGGGCCGGGGGAAAAACCGCACCCGAGGTACGAGCCTTTAGTGGGAACCGAACCCCGGGTCTCTGTGGACCGCAGGCCGACGCTCTAACGCTGAGCCAAACCGGCCAGGGCAAATATATACATATATACATATATATATATATATATATATATATATATTTTTTTTTTTTAAAGGAGGCTCAATTCCTGCAGAATATTTACTGCCTCAGAAAAACTCAGCTCATTTTTCTAAGTCTCTTAGAGCCCTTGAGGGTAAGCAGTACAAGCTACGGAAGACAGCCTAGAACAATTCATTCTTTCACTTATCAAACATTTACAGAGTCTTAGTGTACAACTGGCATTTTTTTTTTTAAGAATGAACATGACGTGATCCCTGTCCTCAGGGCTTTTACTGATCCTCAGGAGGTTAAGAGCTCTGAAGTCCTGAGTTGTAAACCTAAGAAGCTCCAAGTCCAGGCCCCCTGGGTCCTACCGTCTGGTCCCGACCCAGCCTTCTAGGGACTGCGGCAGCAGTGTCTGCCTAGGATGCTCCAAGGAGAACTTCTTCCAAGTGGGCGGAGAGGCCCAGCCCCCGGAGTTGATGGTGCGTCTCCACTGACAGCCCAAACTCATTTGGACCTCCCATTACTCACTGAAGCCCCCATATGTTCCTCTCTACACCTCCCCGCCCAAGTCTTTCACCTTGAAGACCTCCCACCTCGTGGTTACCTCTGGGGGCTCCCCTGGTCCAGACCGCACACCCAAGCCCCCAAGGGCAGCTTCAAATCTCAAAAGTAGAAAGAGGACCAGGCTGACCGCGGGGTTCAGAGCCAAAACTGCTTGAACTGGACGGACTCTAGGACCCGGGGATGGTGAACAAACAGCAGAGGGGGCCGGGTAGGGAACAAACCCGGAGGAGATGGTGTTTACAACGGCCACTTCCGGAGACTCGACTTCCCTCGCAGACCTTCACAGCCTTTCGCCCGCCTCCGGCCGCCGGCCCGCCTCCCGCCGCCCACAGCTCCAGGATACGCACTCGGAGAACGCTGGGCTCCGATTGGAAGAGCCGCGAAGCTGCGCGGTTTCGCTGGAAGGCGAGCCCGCGCATGCGCCGTTGCTGGGGAGCGGTGCGCTCGCGAGCGCGCGCTGTTCGGCGCCAGGCTCGCCGGCTCCCGCGCACCAGAATTTCCCGGCCTACGCCGCAGCGTGGTTCATGTCAGCATCGGACCGAAGTCACGGTCTCCGAATCCCGAGTGTCGACTGAAAAATACAGACTTTTTGGGCCCCTTTCCCCTGCCCACTGAATAAATATCTAAGGTCGGATCTGGACCCTGCATTTTAAAACTAGCTCCTCTGCTGAGCGTTGGAGCCGGAGCAGCCCCTCAGGGTCGGGTGATCTGGTTCCTGAGCCAGGGGCAAATTCTCCGCTTGGCTTCTGCACAATCGGCTTGTTTCCCGCAGTTTAGACCGCTCTGGGCCAGCACCGTGCTTCTTCCCCTCTTCTCTTCCCCACTGAATCCCAGCTTGTGGTTGTAAATTGGGCCAGAAAAATGCGGGTCAGTTCGCTGATGCTAGTGCAGCACCTTTCATTATAAATATTACATTATGAGGAGGTACCTCACAACGTCCTTGGATCCTTAGCATGTGCTAAGGACCCTTCCCCCACCCCTTCCTCCTCTCCTAGCTCCAAGCACACATGTACACACACACACCTTCCTCTAGTTGATCATTTATACTTTGGTTTCTCCCAGTAGCTGCTGCCGCCTCAGGGAAACTGGAAAACCATCTTCTTTTGTTCCTTGGGTTTTGAAACCCTATTCCCCAAAGGACATTGCACATTGGCAGAATTTTGATTAAGCATTTTATCTTCACCACCATCACCTCCTCTCTGGAAAAAAGGTGTTTACAGCAAAATTAGCCTTTTAAAATCATTCCTGATTGATTGTACTCAACCTGAAACCAGGTGTAGGGGAACCATCTTTCCCATCTCCCTGGGGAGAATCAACGGCCATGAATTCAAATATAAATTGAGATTAAAACCTCTGATTCTTGTAGTACTGAAATTTTAATTGGTTTGAGTTTAGTCATTTAAATTTAAAAAGAAAACCCACCTCACTTCGTCACAATTTTTACCAGAAAAAGGATAATTGCTTCAAAGGAAAGAGCTTATGGAAAGGACAAAATAGCCTACTCTAACATTTAGAAATGAAATGAAAAATTACAACAGATAATGAGATTACAGGTTTTTTTTTTACTTTACAAGTTTTAATAAAATATTTATTAAAATTTTTAATTTTTATTGATTTTAGAGAGAGAGGAAGGGAGAGAAAGAAAAAAGAAAAGAAAACATGAATTGCTTGTTCCATTATTTATGCATTCATTAGTTGATTCTTGTTATGTGCTTTGACCTGGGACTGAACCTGCAATCTTTGCATATCATAATGACGCTATAACTAACTAAGCTACCCTGCCAGAGCTTATTTATGTTTAAACAATAATCACAAAATTTAATATTGTGTGGCAAGAATAAATGCCAAATACACTATATACCGCATGCTTTGTGTGTGTGTGCAACATTAAGACTTGCAATCTTCAATTATTTATTCACTTAACCTTTATGGAATTAAGACTATATACCCAGAGTAGTGTTAGGTGATAGGACTACAGGATGTATAATATACCTACAGTGGGAATTAGAAGTTAATATCAACCCTGAGTAACCCAAAAGGCTTCATAGAGAACTTTGGGTATAGTCTGGGAAAATGGATGGTTATAGCTTCATCAACCTGAGAAGCAGTTGGCAGATATGTAAGCTACAAACACCAGCACAGAAAATTGCATGAGGCATTTGGAAAACTGGAAGAAGCTCTGCTTGCAGTCTTAAGGGTACAATGGAGTGGGTAGTAAGACATGAGGCTGGAGAAATAAGCAGAACCAGATCACATAGGGCCTTCTAGTTCATGTTTAGTTTATCAAGCAACAAAGCTAGTAAAAGGTGTTAAGCTCAAAATTACGCATAAATCTGACTTTTAAAATACTTGGAGTGTCCTGGCCAGTGTGGTTCAGTTGGTTGAGCGATGTTCACTAAAAGGTTGCTGGTTCCATTCCTGGTCAGGGCACATTCCTTGGGCATTTTGGCCTTGATCCCCAGTAGGGGGCATGCAGGAGGTAGCCTATATAGATATTCCTCTCTTCCTCTCCCTTCCTCTCTCTAAAATAAACAAAGTAAAATACTTGGAGCTTTTCTATGTTTTTCTGATAGTTACAAGGTCAATTCTCTGTTGTCTCTTATTTGCCTAACATGCTACTGCTTATGAAAAGTTGCATGTTAAGATGCTCTCTAACCCACATTCCTTTTAGTCTCAAGAATTACAATACTGGCCTCTTCTTTTTTCTGCCAATCTTTTTGAGATATTATTCAATCCATCTCTACTAGCAATCCACCAAAACAGCTTGTCAAAATCAAGAGTGACCTCATTGCCAATTCCGGCATTGAAATCACTGACAGTGATCCTCCTCAGATTTCTCTTCAGCATAGGTGAGACTCTTGGTTTCTCCAACTCTGACCTTTTTGCTGCTGCTCAGGAAACCATTATCCCTTTTTTTCTTGACTCTCAAATTTTCCCCATATAAGCCTCCTTGGTAATGTCACCCAGTCCTGCAAGTGTGAACTCTAGTTCTTTGATTTTCAATTCTTTTTGGCCACCTGACATCTTAATGTCATAAACTGAGCTGTGGTTTTGAGGGTTTTTTTAATTTATTTTTTTCATTATTTTTTTATCCTCACCTGAGGACATTTTTCCATTTGTTGTTGTTGTTGTTCAGATGGAGTGGGAGGGAGAGAGAGGAAGAGAGAGAGAGAGAAAGAGAAACATTGACACGAAAGGGACATATAGAGTGGCTGCCACCCACATGACCCAACCAGGGCTGAGAACAAACTACAAGGGAGGTACATGCCCTTAGCGGGAACCAAACCCAGGTCTCTTGGGACTGCAGGCAGACACTCTAACCGCTGAGGGCTGGTTTTGAGTTTTTAAATCCAGTTGGAACAGTGTAATTTTAATGTCTGGCAATACTGAATTCAGTACATGTAAAACTTCAGCCCTGGCAAGTTTTCTTCAATGGTTAGAGCGTCAGCCTGTGGACCAGAGAGTCCTGGGTTCGGTTCCCGCTAAGGGCACGTACCTCAGTTGCAGTTTGGCCCCGGCCCGGCTAGGGTCCTATGGGTGGCAGCCAATCGATGTATCTCTCTCACATCATGTTCCTCTCTCTCTCTTCCCCCCTCTCTCCCTCCTACTCTATATAAAGATAAAAAGCAAAATAAATAAATAAATGCATACATAAATAAATAATAAAATAAAACTTCATTAACTTCTCACTGGAGACCCCCAAACTACTCCTCTACCTATTCATAAAATTTCTAATCTCTTAGATACCCAAATTAAAAGAAGAAAATCAGAGAAACTTTTTTCTCTCAAGCTCTCAATTTCTAAATCTAAAAATCAATTAGGTCCTACTTACTTTTTCTCTAAGTCTCCTGTCTTTTTTTCTATGCCTACTTCTAAACATCTTCATCTGTTTGTTTCCCTGTTGCTTCAGATCCAGACACTTGTGATCAGGACCTTCACTGTGCTCTAATGCAAGTCACTCACCTCCCCCTTCTGTGCAAATTCCCAACATTTTTCAAATTGACAACTAAAATCTATGGCGTTTTTAAGTTGGCAAATGTGAGAGGAGAGAATCAAAAGGTAGAAATTCTCATAGCAATACTTTTTCTGATATATCTCCTAGAGCAAGGGAAACAAAGGCCAAAATAAACAAGTAGGACTACAAAAAGGTTGAAAAAAAATCAAGTAGGCCTAAGGACATATGTATACATTTCAGACTCCAGGGGAGTGTTCTCTGTTCATTGTATGCATGTGAGCCTTATGGTGTTCTAAGCACCAGATGATCTGCATCCTTTTGACCCTTCAATAACCTCCCCCAGAAGGTTCGAACACCAGGTGCTTGATAATTAAGCTGCTTTGGTATCAAGTCTTAGAAATGCAAGGCCTTGCCATAATTGTTGCTCTCAGCAGTCCTGGTTCTTTGTTCCTTCAATCCCCATTCTGTATTGTTATATTAACCTCTTCATCAATTAATTCTTTTAATGACTCCTCAGTCCTTACTGGATAAAACCCCAATTTTTCCCTCATCAATCAAGGGCCCCTAGTCTTATCCCTACCTGCCTTTCCAACATTGCCTTCACTCTCACAATAAATCTTCCGTTATTCACATTAGAATGGAAAACAAAATATTTGGGAGAAAATGTAATAAGAGGAAGGCATGGATTACATGAAATGTGTTAAGATATATACATTTATATAAAAGATTTAAATCCAGATAACATTATTTGTTAAACATATAATATGTGCCAAGCACTATGGTAAGTAGCTTCACATTTATTCTACTTCTTTTCAAAAATGCAAATATCTTTATTATTTACTCCAATAATACATGGCCACATAAGAAAGTAGGGCAACTGTAGAAAAGCAAAATTCTCCCGAAGTCCTACCTTCCCGACCCAGATATAAAAACAGACTCATAAACAACAGAGACCATTTTGATGATTGCCAGATGGGAGGAGAGTTGGGGGAGGGGGGAGGGGTGAAAAGGTGAAGAGATTAAGAAATACAGATTAGTGTTACAGAGTAGTCATGGGAATGTAAAGTACAGCATAGAAAATATAGTCAATAAAATTCTAATGAGTATATATGATGTCAGATGGGTATGAGAATTATCAGGATGACCACTTAGTAAGTTATATAATCACTGGGGTGTACACCTGAAACTAATATAATATTGTATGTCAACTGTAAC